AGCGAGGGAGTAAGGAAAGATGTTCAAACTTGCTGTATATAATCAAAATAAAATTTGGTTCCAATAACAAAATGTGTTCAAACAATCGTAGCAAATTCGAATGACGCATTTTCAATAAAACATATTTACGTTTGCACAATATGTGGTATTAAACAAAACATTTGTTCTGCCGCAAACCGTTCAAACATTTCATAATTTGCATAGTTTACCATATTTCGATTTTACATTATAACGTTTAAAATTTAATATAAGTACAATGAAATGACAGAAAGACATCCACAACCGATAAGTTGGAACTTAGTTTAACAACCTATTCAAATTGGTTTGGTTTCGCAAGAGTAAAATAATTTTCAGTAAGTTGGTATTTATTTTTATTTTTCAAGTAATTATTATTACAATAATTTATAAACTAATATTTTATAAAAAATTTTAATAAAAACCAAAGGCTATAAGACATTATACTAATAATTATCAATGGGCCGAACATTTTTCGGGGATAAATTCACATTAAAATATTTATATTTTAATAAAAAATGTTTTTGAAAAGTTGTCTTTCTTTTTTAAAAGTGTTAATACTATTTTTTGTGTTATTCGCTTAAACTAATAAAATCTTTTTTTCTTAATGAAATAATAACCGAGTTCAAAAAAAGGAAATTAATTTTTTTAAAAAAAATTTTGATAATTGTTTTTATTATTATTAGAAAATAATGTAAAAAAAGTCAATAATTATTACTATCAAACCTCAGTATGACATTCACTATAAAAAATGTTTTAATTATTATTACCATAATTTAAAAATTACTGTTTTGATAAAATTATATAATAATAACCAAAGTCCTTATAATAGAGTACTAACAATTATCAATGGACCAAATATTTTTCTGGCAAAATTCAAACTTAAAAAAGAAATGTCTTAATAAATAAATGTTTTATAAGTTACTCGCTTAAACTAATAAAATCTTTTTTTTCTAAAATAAAACAATAACTGGGTCCAAAAAATTTGGTTTAAACAATTTATTTTTAAGTTTGAACAACTTTTTTTTATAGGGTAATATTAAAACGTCACTAGTAAATTGCCCATGTTGTTCTCATTATTTAAGTTAATCTCAATTCCTCGTTAATTTCTTAAACGACATTTTTTCTTTGGTTAATGGTTAAAATTTGAATGTAATAGTTATAAATGTTTACGAAAGGACAATTTTATAGAATATTATTGTATATTCAATATACAAAATAGATATTCGCTATAATTATTGGAACGTCGGAGCTCTACGGTTGTGCAAAACATTAGTTCAAACATTTGAATAGTGGCCCAAACAAACGACATAACCAAACACCTTACAGAGCAGCTGTCATATTGGAACACTTGTTTTAGATATAAAACTATACAAACATATTGGGAAAACACTTTTATAAAACGTAATTAAGTGTATCGAGAGCATTTGTGTAAGCAGATGATCTTACTTACACATTTGTCGAATGATCCAAGTATCTGTTTGAAATATGAAAACATGAATTGCTGGAATACATACTATGTGTACGTTCTCTATGAATGTATACAAAATAATTTTTCTTAAATTTTTGCATTATTCATTTTATAATATACGATGTGTATTAATTTGTGCGTAACATTTTGTAGAACATATTATCGTAAACGATTATTTAAGGAGCTATGGCTTATGCATCATAAAAAAATTTGAAAATCGACAAAAAAATACTGAATATTATACTTTAAAATGTATAAACATTTTAATATAATATTACATAAAACCAAATATTTATTAATTAATTAATGTTAAGTTATGAGGCTACTGTGTTTTGTAAATGTTGTGTTATAGACTTATTTACATAGAAATTAATTTAGAATTCATAATCATTAAAAGTTTAGTGTTTTTATTAGTCATTAAGGATCATAGTTGTCAAATAAATAAATAATCCATTGGCAACTGTAACTGTAAGATAAATTTATTGTATTTTCTTCAGAAAAAAATGAAACATTTTTGTGTTTTGATGACATTAGTCTTTGGATATGTTTTGGCATTACACGAAGGTACGTATCATGAATTTCTAAAATACTAGAGGTTTAAATAAGTGATAGCAATCCAAAAATACAGATTTTTAAATAAATCCTTTTTAAGCCATTTACTCTTATAGTATGCTGTGTATCTAAGTAAAGTAATAAAAAAAACCGCTTAATTTTGACTATATGGGGCTTTCGGATTTTAAATTACGGATTTTATGATTTTAACAAATCCAAATGCAGAAAGAAAATTTTCTTATTGATGTTGTGTTTTATTTTTACATTTTCATCGCAAATATTTAATATGGGTACGCAGATTTATATTTTATTAATATTTAATAATTGTTTAAAACTCATGCCAGCTTTAAGTAACTAGCACTAGTAGTGAAAATCCCAATTTCCGGATTCAATCAATAGTTAAAATTACCTTTTTTTAATTTTATTTTAACTTCTGTTTAGATGACTTTAGACATTTCGTATACCATACAAGTCAGTATAACCAATAATTATTTATCTGTAAAATATATGTACAATATGTCAATTAAGTTTTACCTATATTTTTACATCTTTTGTTTGCTTTTTAATCATAGACCATATGCTCAATCGTTTAAATGAAGGTAAAATATTTAATACATTTATAAACAATGTATTTTTACGTTTTCTCTGACAATTGAATGTTGATTCAACAAAAAAGATTGAAATGAAAATTCTACTGTTTAAAATGTTTCAAAGGGTTGATTTTTTTGCTCATTTCACCTTTGCTTGTATTTTTTGTTACTTAAAAAGTAATTTAAGGTACATTTTTACAATCGCGTCAATACAATCATTGGAACATTATTTAATAATAAGTTCTAGCACTTTTATTAAATACCTTACTAAATAAATATACACAATTAAAAAACATATTTTTTCTAGAACATTTACGCCATTTAATCACATTTTACATATTGGATGATATGCATATTGGTAAGCATAATAATTGTATAATAACAGCTATATTTAAAGTTATTGAAGTTTCAAGTTTAGGGCAGGAGGAAAAGTGGAGTGTAGTATTATTTTTATCTGCGCCCGTTTTCCAACCACACTTACCCTCCCACCATATCTTTTAAACACTTGTAACTTTAATCGACCAGTCAAAAATGTTTGTTCCATTAAAAATTTAATGGAATTTATGCGTTACCATTTATGTTAAAAAAGTTACTATCACAAAAACTAAGTTGGGAGGATGGTAAAAACAAAAAAAAATATAGTAAAAAATTGAGATCACATTGTAAAAAAACACTGAGTAAAGAAAAAATTATAATTCTTTGTAAACTAAGTGACATATTGAGTGGTTAACGATAAGTTGATCACCTTTTATATAATTTTATTTGGTAAGATTACCCATGGCAGCCAACGTGTCAATTTTTCTATTATATTGATTTTTGTAAAAATTATTTTTCAAACATAAACCCGGAAATTCTTAGTTGTAAATTTAGCAGACACATCGTTTAATAGTGTTGCTCACTTTTCAAGACATTAAAAGATGCTATTCATATTTACTCAATGACTTATTATGAACAGCCAATCTCGTTTAACGATAAATTTTTATTCATTTCAGAGGCGGTGATTTCGCTTTTGGCCGCGCCAAGTATTAAGACTCAGATAATATAAATTATATATATTTTTTCAATTTATTTGTAACGAATAAGACCTATTTTTACTTTTAATAATTATATACGTTAATATTTCAGCGTTGGTTTTCAAGGATGGATGTGGGAATTATCCAGATGGTAAATATTTAATGTATAGTCAAAAACATAATATTACAGGGTGAATTAAAATTTGTGCTTTTACATTTATATCTGTGTGCGAAATAATTATGAAGTACAGTTGTTTATGTCAAATTATTATTAAATTAAGTTAAAGGTATTAAATATCTATGTAATCATAACAGCAGGAATCAATATTCTTCAATGTTACTGAGCATAAAACACTTTTAAAATTGATTATTTTTTAAATTTCAGATCTGGGAATTAAAGAGCAACATATACTGGACCGTTTAGATTATCATGGTAAAAATGTGATTCGAATAAATTATAAAACCAACAAACGTTAGATTGGTAAAAAACCAGCTAGGTCTCCTGCAATTATTTAGAATTATATACTCTAAGGACAGTCTGTCGCCCATGCCCCTCCCCACATTTTAAACACCTTTTTATAATTGTTAAATTTTAATAAAATGTTATTTATTTCAGCAAATGAAGCACCTGGTGAAGATGATAGAAGTAATATTTACAAATTAACTCAAAATAAACTTTTTTCTATTTTCGTCTACAGCAATGGTTCTGTGTACGATTTATCATTTATAGAGTGAATATATACACACAAAGTGTCGGTCCACGGTTATCTTATAGATCCAAATGCACAATTTGATTAACTATATTGGAAACTAAAATATCTTCTCATCGATACTCAAACTGTCAAAAAATTAAATTAAACATTTCCGAACGTCTCGTCATTATTTACACGTTATTATGTTTTATAATTGCAGTCACGGATTACAAAACATTGGGTGGAATGGGGATAGACAGAAGAAATAGAATTAAGGGATCTGTATTATTTTTACTCCGGTCAATCGAAGGTATGTTTAACCCAGATGGTGACGATAAGTAAAATATTATGATTCAAGCAAAAAAGCGAGCTTCAGTGTGATCAGAATGATGAAACTACATTTGTCTGGTACTAATTGTTAATTTGCTTCAGTACTGAAACCTTGTAAAAAAAATAATAAACACGTCAAATGTCATATTATTGTATGATCTGTATAGGTTAAAAAGATGAAGACTGTGCAGTTTTTCACACTTTGTAATAAAAATATATATTTTTATTCAAATTGGTCACAATGTCGCCCGCCTCCTTGCTTAATTAGTCGTCGTGAACATGACAATATATTACGATGTTACAGCTCTATATAATTTAAAAAATTATGTTTTTAAAGATCTATCCAATCATTTTGATGTTGAGCAGAAATGTCGTTTAGTAGCGTTGTTCGTAAATGTAGAAGATCCAAGCATACTCATATTTCATAGCTATTCCAAACAATTCAAAGGACACGATTACTGTCGTCTTAAACATTATATATCTGACGACAAGAATCAGGTACGGCACACTGAGTACAGAATGTGGGAGGATGGCTACTATGAAGTAATTGACCATCATACAAAAGGGCGCAAACTCACCCCTAAACCCGGACATAAGATTGGCTGCGTAATTTCTTAAAGAGACCTTGCAGATATACACATTTCTTAAAATTTCTTTAATATGCTATATACAATTTACATAATAAATTATCTTGGAACCATTTAAAATAAGTGTTATTTTTGTTGTGTTCGAATATCAGAGTACAGTTGAAGAGACTCTGCATTATGATAATACATGACGTATAGTATATAGTACATGATAACTTCACAACTTAAACAAAAAAAAGGAATTATTTTTATTTGAAGTGGTCATATACTGTCACTCGCCTTCTTGATTACTCCGTTGCTGAGTACAAGGACTTACTACGTTAGTTTATAAGATATGGTAGTAATAGTTATTTAAACAGTATAAAAAAAAACGTATAGTGAATATGTTACTCAAGTTTGTTAGTAAAACTTAGCGAAAAAGAGTATAAGCATTTTTTTTTACATCGTTTAGCTTTGTAGAAACCTGAGTTATTCAATGACTCCTTTTACCTATTTATCATCTGTTTTATATCCACCTCAACTACTAAAGATCATAGGCCAATAACCTAGTTTTTGAAGCCTGATTAATTCAATATCTTATACCTGCAAGCTTTAATAGCGTGCCTATTAATGATTCAGAGCTAGCATATCCAAAATTGGCACAAAAAACGAGTTTAGAAATTGGATAATTGCAAGTCACATTATTACAGATGTATTTTTTTTTGTCTCAAGTCATGGTAACTTTTTTTCCATTAGACCGATTCGCTACTCAAGTAGCATCTCATAGATCGAAAATCATAAGTGATTGATACATCGCGAAAAACGGTCAGATCCAGAATATTGGTTAGGCATGCTTCTATACTCACATCGCCTCGAATTCAAATTTCGGCCAACGATGGTACTATCAAGCAGGCAAATTTAAACGTTCAAAAACATTAATAATAAAACAAGATATTATGACCAAAAAACGACTTATTTAAAATAAAAAAAATTTTGACTGTTAAAATTGTATTTGTAAAACACCTTGAAAAATATTCGATGACAACAGTTGTTTGTCTTATGATTACACATGATCAAACGATACGAAATGTACCTTCGGTTTTTGTACAGATAATTTTACAACAATTAAAAATTATTCGAAAAAAGAAAAACCAGAAGAAATTGAAAACTATTTCTGGGAGTTATTATCAACAATAGTAATGATAATATCAATAAATTTATACATGAACATGTTTTATCTATAAAAAATAAATTTGGTATTATTTAGTTGTAACAGCTTGTTAGAAAATCCCCGTTAATTTCTTAAACGACTTTTGTAAATAAAAATACTCTCTGGTTAATGGTTAAAAATTAAATTTATCTATTACACATGTTTCCAAATTTTATTTAAAAAATTGAAATTGTATAAAATGTTCAAACGTGTTTTATGCGTACATTTTTTTTTTTTTACAATTATGACTTTTATTGAAAAACATACAATCTGTAAATTATATTTTACAATGAGTATTTTTATAAACTATACATATGATAAACATGAGGAGAAAACCCCACATTAGGGGCACCTCAAATTTATGCGTACTAGGAATAAGATATCTAAAAAGTACGCTGATTGATCTCAAATAAACTTCATGACGAATTCAAATGTGTTTTTAGATTACTCATCGGATCACTAGTTCAGCCTGTGCGATGGACAAAAAATGTACTATTTTATCAACTAAAATGGTTTTTGTTAACGGTAAATTAATTGTCCTGGTCGAAATTCATTAAAACCACTTTTTTCTTGACTATTACTTATAGAAACCTTCTTAAAAATGGTTACTCTAGGTGATATTTTATTTTATTTTGGTAATATTCCTTTGTGTATACTGTGTGTATTATTTTGTGCGTAACATTTTATAAAACATTATCGTACACGATTGCTTGAGCACATTTTTAACTAAGCGTTAAGCTAATATGAAAAAATACAAAATGTGCTTTTATGATTCACGCCTAGAATATTATAAAATGACAGTACAGTGGGGTCGGGGAATAATGGGAAAGGAAATCTCACAGGTAGTGTACTTTATGTAGGTACTGTACCTAACTAAAAATGATGAAATAACTTTAAAACAAAAGGTTTTGAATCTGTAGACAGGAAACTGACAGTGGTGCAATTAGCGGGGGTGTAAGCAATTATTTTTTACTGTTTAGTACAGGCACCACAATTTGTATTTCACCTATCTGCTTTACTTTTTTAAATCACTTATTTTGTTAAGAATAATTTGCTGAAAATTTTGACTGATCGATTACCAGTTTTGGATAGTTACTTTATATGTTTTTTAAGCTTCGGATTTAAGACGGGTGGTGGAGCAATGCTCCAACGTTGTTGACCAAAAACCATTATGTTTATTGCCTTATTCAAACGCCTTCAATTTGTACATTAGGATTTAATATTATTGTATTAAATTATCCCAATTTAAATATTTATTTGTACAGAAACTACAATTTTTTTAACTGCGACAAATTAAAGAATGAAGACGAGTTAAATTAATAAATAAATAGGTCAGAAAATAAGAACGCAATAATAAAATATGTGTTAACTAGATTACAGGACATTCGGGAAAACAGGTCAGATCCAGTAGAAATGTTTAATGCATATTGGTTAGGCATACTTTTATTCACACATTGCCTTAAACTCAAATTTTGACGACCCTCCACCTCACGGGCTTTAGAGCTGGAAATTAGCCTGAAAGAATCATAAAGAAATGAAGAACTCCTTCTGGGAGTTTTTTAATTAAAAATTGTCTGGTTAATCGTTAAATATTAAATGTAATTATTATAAATGTTTGTTAAATTATATGTTTAAATAAGGACAATTGAATAGAATATTATTGTACCTATCTTAAATGTATAAAACAGCTATTCGCTATAATTATTGGAACGTCGGTGTTCTACGGTCATGCCAGACATTAGTTCAAACATTTGAATAGTTGCCCAAACAAACGACCAAACCAAAAACGTTTCATAGCATCTGTCGTATTGGAATAATTGTTTTCAGTAAAAAACAATAACAAAACTATAAACAAATATTGATATAACACTTTATAAAATGAACCGTTAGCATTTGTGTAAACGGAAGATTTTCCTTAAGTTTCAATAGTTCAAATATCTGTTTGAAACCTGCAAATATGTGTCGTTCTTATCTATTCAATGTGTAAATTCGTTTTGAATATATACATAATAATATTTACTGTATTTTATATACTATGTGTATTATTTTGTCCGGGTTCAACCCTGGCTAGCGCCGCAGCACTTTACGCTTTTTTTTACAACTTTTTTTTAACTTTTATGGTAATTTATATTGCAAGAAGTCTAAAAACTTATAAAATATTTATATTTTATTACTACTGAATACATTTTTACCCTTAAAAGTACTTGATAACCTATATTCCATTCGGTTTTTCGTCATTTATTATACTTCTCGTACTGATAATTGAATAACAATTTTTTTTTGTATAATTGCACTATTGTATAGTGCAATTTAACCTGTAAAGTTGTAAGACTAAAAAAATAATTTTTTTCCATTTTTCTATAATAGTTATTGGTTATTAATTAATATTTTTTTTAAAACTAAAAAAAATACATTTATACTCTGTTAAGCAATGTAGTGTATTAATGTTGATGGTGATATTATAATTTATCTTCATTGGGGAAATTACGACCCGGGTGGGATGTATGGAGTTAAGATATGTCATATGTGTTATGATTATGATTACCAATCTGTAATTTATGTGATGACATATTTATTGTCCTTAACCAAGTTCTCCCACAATGATACAATTAAAAAATAACAATATACGTTATCTGAACAATATTAAAGTCAGGTAACTTTTGCATAATCTGAAATGTGTACAATATGTACCTTGGGCTTTTATAGGTTATCAAGTACTTTTAAGGGTAAAAATGTATTCAGTAGTAATAAAATATAAATATTTTATAAGTTTTTAGACTTCTTGCAGTATAAATTACCATAAAAGTTAAAAAAAAGTTGTAAAAAAATGCATAAAGTGCTGCGGCGGCAGCCAGGGTTGAACCCGGTACCGCGCACTCCCAAACACCGATCACGCTCGACCGCACCACATTTAGTTTTTCAGTGTGTAAAATAGGTCTATTTAAAATTAACCAAAAAAATATGTAAATTTCAAAGTTGATTATCTCTGGAATTAGGACGCATTGGCACAAACGCTCGAATAAGGGTGTTTTTATTTCTCATAAATAACATTTATTCGCAATTTGAAGAAAATCCGTCACGCCATCACTGTGACCTTCCCTTGTAAGAGCGTGTCGGATTTCGATATTATAACTAAATAAAGGCTAAGAGAGAGAAAAAAAATTACTGAGGACTGAATTCCTGGTAATTACATCGTGGGAGTTATTATGTATGTTTTAAAAACACTACCTAACAAATGTATAACGCAATACCTATCTTATCATATCCTTAATAGTATAGGCCGCTCAGGTCGTACATTGTATTTTCTGTTTCTGCCATACTAGAAAACTAACAATTTATATAACTGCGCGCAATTATTTAAAAGATTCCTAAAAAAAAAATTATGTATATCTATACTCTTCAAATGAAAAATAAGTTAAATAAAAAAAAATTAAAATGTTTTCCTTTTTCTTATACTTAATGTCTATTAGAATATCTATAAAAAGACGGGGAAAACAAGGGAATTGGAGTTTGGACACAACTTTCCCTTCTTGGATTATAGGCTACATTCCCTGTGTTATAATTCTCATTAGATACATATGGAACTCTAGTAAAATAGGGCTTTTGACTGTTAAAACTACTACAAGTAGACCTATTATTATTGTTACTGGCATAATTAAAGTTAATTTTTCTGGTACCGTTATAGCGATTTTGGGTTGTCTTATAATTCCTATTGAATACATCTCTAACCTTATAATTATTTATTCCATTAGGATATCTATTGTATTTATTATAATTAAAGTTACCCAAATTAATATTCTTATTAGTAATACTATTATTATTAGACCTACGAGCGCTATGCATAGAGTTGTTAAAACTCGTACCGTGATTTATCCTAGTATCCTGATAATTATTTTGGTTTGTCCTATGAGTCTTA